CTCCCCCTCCCCCCAATTTCCACCGCGGCCAATTCATGGACAGGAACTACCCCAGCGCCGGCTTCGGGGACCCGCTCGGCGCCGGGGCGGGATGGAGTTACGAGAGGTCAGCGAAAGCTAGGTAAGAAGCCAAGGGTGGCCTGGAGGAAGGGGCCAAGGGGTGGGGGCCAAGCTGGCCCGGGCCGGGCCCGCCCGGCGACGCGTGCATCGCAAACTCCCCTCCGGCTTGCAAGGGAGCGGCCTTCCTCGGTTTGCAACAACGCCGCCGCCCCAGTTTGCAAATTGCAAACTCCGCCAAAGCCAGCTTCGGCATGCAAAGGGAGAGATGCAGCGGGAAAATGGGGGTGCAAAACAATTTTGGAAGGAAAGGCCTTGGGAAGGTGGAAGGGATTGGCGAAGCAAGGCCTGGATTTCCCCCCATCCTTGGATTCCCCGCTTGCTGACCCCTCCCCCTCGCGCCCCAGGCTCTGCTCTTGCAAAGGTGGGAAGGAAAGGAGAATTGGAACGCAGACCTGGGGGGCGCGCCCCCCCTCCCAGGTCCCATTGTTCCGGGACTGCGTGAGGCCGCGCGACTCGGGGCCCCCCCAAAATTCCGCGCGCAGAGTGGGCGCTGGGCCCCGCCCCCTTCCTAAGCTGGGTTTCAGTGTGTGTAAGGGGGGGGGGGTCCTGGTATCTGAGACACGCCCCCTTTAACTTCCCACCCCCAAAGGCAGAGAATCCTAGTTGATGGCAAGGAGTGGAGCGTTTGACCTCTCTAGAGTCTGGGCCATGGATTGGGGCCCTTGCATGGGAAGATTTGGGTGTGTGGTTGTGTGTGTGCGCGTGAACTCTGTGCGTGCGTAGCTGGCAGCCTGTTCACCTGCGAATCTGTCCCTTTCCTACTGTTTGTGTTGCGCCCTCACTCTTCACCTGCCCAGGAACCATCCTCTCCCCACACACCTGGGTTTCCCGGCATGGCTGGGCATGACCACACGTGTGTTAGTTCCATGTGGGACTCTTTGCTCTGTATCTTTCCTTTCCCACGGGTGAGCTGGATACTCAGCACAAACACTTGACTTTGCTTGGGCGCATGCATTTGAACCTCAACCCCTGGGAATGGACGGTGTTCATGTTCGCACTTGTACTTGGTACTTTCCTATCCCCTCCCCATCCCACATCCCTGCCCTTTAGGGAACAGTTTGCCTCTTGCTCCCGATTCACTCACTTTGCACCACCCCATCAGGTTCTGGGTCTCAGTGTTCCCACGTGTCTGCAGAAGAGGGGCGTCCATGCATAGCTCTGGGGTTGGCCCCAGGGTCTTGTGTAAAGGGGCTTTGTGGGGTAGTAGGTCCACATTTTCCTCTGACTAAACCCTTTCTGTTTGTCTCATCCTCGTGCATGTCTGTAAACGTGAGATTGGGCTCTATTTACTGGACATCAAGATTCTTTACTGCTATTGAGGCTCGAGTGGGAACCATTTCTATGGCTGTTCAGTTGGGCACCCCATTCCCTTATCTTTCATTTAGGGCCCAAGGTTCCTGGGATGACCCCAAGTCAGCTGGAAGATTCCCCCCAACTACCCGGGGTATTGCTGAGTTCTTTCCGAGGGCAGCTTCGGAGGATACCCTAACATATTCCCCTTCCCCCCAGCTTGGTCTATGGCAGCTCCAGGACCTCGCACCCCGAGACGGACATCTTACACCGCCAGGCCTACGCGGCCCCCCACCCACTGCAAAGCTATGCCACCAACCACCACCCGGCAGGTACGGCCCCCGTCCCGCCCCGCCTGAACTGACCCTCCCTCTATGGCAGCTGATTGGCTGCTGAAAGTTCCACCCCTCCTAATTGGCCGTGCCTTGGGTCTGGCCCACCCCTTGATATTCCTCTTCTGATTGGCTGGTCTGAGGCTGTTTAATTTCACGCCGGATTCGTCCGCCTGTGTCTCTGGCCCCGCCTGTTTCGCTCCAATTGGCCTCATCCCCACAGCCCCCGAATCCCACCTTCTCTTCCAGGCTTTTCCGCCTCTCCAGCCCACCCCAATCACTCCCCTCTGGGTTTGCCCATTCTCTTGGCTCCTTGGTTTTCTGAATTGTTTTCTCCTAATTCCCATTCTTTCTGATTGGCTCGGACTCTTTGGACCTCCTCCTTTTCCTTAATATTTGCTTACTATCTTATTCTCCTGCTGTGGCCCTGCCTCTAATGCTTCTGATTGGTTCCCTTCCTCTGATCCAGCCGCCCTCCTTCCTAGATGGACCAGCAGTGAGACTGACTGTGTAGTCCAATTTGGTCCTTGACTTTCCTAGTTGGCTCCTTTCCTTTTTTCCTTCCCATCGTTTTTTTGTTTTGTTTTTTTTCCTGTATCCACTCACTTTGACTCAACCTCTTTTAACTTGTCCTCTAGTTCTTCCCAGTGGCTCCAGTCATCCCATTCCTCACCCTTGCTGGAATTGCCCAAATCCCTTGGTTTCCCTCCACACCCCATAACGACTCCCTGCCCTTTTGCTCCCACTTCCTTCACTTCTGCATTTTTCTTTTCCTTTGCCTACCTTTCTCTTCCTGGGCTCCCTGCCCTTAGGATTGCATTGCACCACATCCTGCTTATTGCCTTCCTAGCTTGTCTTTGCTCACTTTCTCCTCTATGAATCTTCCCCTTTTCTCCAACCCCTTTCCTTGACCCAACTTGCTTTGGCCTCTTCTTTTCCCTTTCATCCCTGCCCTATCACCTACCTAGCTGACTCTACCACCCTGTTCCTGGCCAGGCCTCTCTGGACTCTTCGACACTGGCCTTCACCACGCGGGCTCAGCAGGGCCTGACGCCTCCGTCATGAACCTCATCTCGGCCCTGGAGTCCCGGGGCCCCCAGCCTGGCCCCTCTGCCTCCTCTCTCCTCTCCCAGTTCCGCAGTCCTTCCTGGCAAACAGGTAAGCTCATTGCCAGCTCGAGAGGGCCGGGGTGGGGCTGGCTTGTGGTCCACCCTGACCTACGGTCTCCTCCATCATCCCCAGCCATGCATACGCCAGGCCCCACGGAGCTCTTCATCTCAGGCGCCCTGCCGGGTTCCAGCACCTTTCCATCCTCCTCTGCCCTGTCGGCCTACCAGCACCCGGCTTCCTTCGGCAGCCGCCCCTTCCCAGTGCCCTCATCCCTCAGCCTCCAGGACCCCCCATTCAGTCCCCCAGCTAATGGGCTCCTGTCCCCTCATGATGTGCTGCACCTGAAGCCCTCGCAGGCACCCACGGTGCCCTCCTCGCTAGGCTTTGAGCGCCTGGCGGGGGGCGGTGTCCTGGGGCCCGCTGGTCTTGGCCCGGCCCAGACCCCTCCTTACCGCCCTGGCCCCCCAGACCCACCTCCACCTCCCCGCCACCTCCCAACTCAGTTCAACCTGCTGGCTTCCTCTTCCGCTGCTGCTGCCGCCGCCGAGCAATCCTCCCCACAGCTCTACAACTTCTCGGGTGCTGCCCCGGGCCCACCGCCACCCGAGCGGGCCCTACCCCGCCAGGACACAGTCATCAAGCACTACCAGCGGCCAGCCAGTGCCCAGCCCCCGCCGCCCCCGCCACCAGCCCATGCCCTCCAGCACTACCTGAGCTGTGGAGGCAGCTACCCTTCCATGGGCCACCGGGCCAACCTGGCCTGCAGCCCCCTGGGCGGTGGGGAGCCCTCCCCAGGTGCTGGTGAGCCTAGCAAGGCTGGGCCAAGTGGAGCCACAGCAGGGGCATCGGGCCGGGCTGCGGGCCCTGAGACGGCCGGAGGAGGTGGGGCAGGGGGTGGCGGTGGAGGTTACCGCCCCATCATTCAATCACCTGGTTATAAGACAGGCAAAGGTGGTTATGGAGCAGCTGCGGGTGGTGCCAACAGGCCCCCACCACCCCGTTCGACGGCCACTCCCAAATGCCAGAGCCTGGGTGGGCCAGCAGCTGCCTATGGCACTGGGAAGGCCTCTGGGGCTGGTGGGGCGGGTGGCCAGGCTTATTCCCCTGGTCAGCCCCAGGGGCTTCTAGGACCCCAGGCCTATGGGCAAGGGTTTGGAGGGGGTCAAGCACAGGACTTGAGCAAAGGACCTAGCTACTCAGGACCCCCACAGCCCCCCAGCGGCCCCGCTCCTCCTGGCCTAGCCACATGTCAGAGCTACTCCCCTGACCAGCTGCAGGGCCAGCTGTATGGGGTACAGGGTGAGCCGTACCCAGGACCAGCTGCCCACTCCCAAGGGTTGCCCACGGCCAGCCCCTCACTCAGCTACAGTACTGGCCATTCCCCAGCACTCTCAGGCCACGGGGGTGGCTGGGGGCCCAGCTCCCTAGGGGGTGGCGGAGAGGCCAGTCCTTCTCACATTATCCGCCCACTGCAGTCGCCACCTGCCCCCGGCCGCCAGCCTGGAGTTGGCTCTCCGGGAGCCCCTGGCAAATACCTGAGCTCTGTCCTGTCCTCGGCCCCATTCCTGGCACCCCCAGGAGCCGGCAGCTATGCAGCCGGAGCAGGTGGCTACAAGGGCAAGGGAGATGGCTCAGAGCTGCTGGCAGGTCCCGGGGGGCCCCCTGCTGAGCGCACAGAGGATGAGGAATTTCTCATTCAGCACCTCCTACAGGCGCCTAGTCCCCCACGGACCTCAGGGGCAGGTGGCTTGGTGGGTGAAGATGGAGCAGCGGATGCCTCCAAGGGACTTGGGGGGAGTGGTGGGGCTGGTGGTCCCCCGGGCACACCCTATGAGCTGGCCAAGGAAGACCCCCAGAGGTACCATCTGCAGAGTGTCATCCGTACCAGTGCCAGCCTCGATGAGGGTGCCACGGCAGCCCTAGAGCTAGGGCTGGGGAGGCTAAAGGAGAAGAAAAAAGGCCCAGAAAGGGGTGGCGAGACCCCCGAGGGGTTGGCCACCTCAGTTGTCCACTATGGGGCAGGTGCCAAGGAGCTGGGGGCCTTTCTCCAAAAGAGTCCCCCACCCCCACCTCCCACAGCCCAGCCTGCCCAGCCCACTCCCCATAGTCTCCTCCTGGAAACTGGGGGCCCTGACCTCCCACTGGTGCTGCCTCCACCTCCCCCCCAGCTGCTTCCCTCAGTCCTTAGCCACGCCCCAAGCCCCTCTTCCAGCACCCCCAAAGTTGGTGTCCATCTCCTTGAGCCAGCCACCCGTGATGGGGCGCCCCAGCTCCCCCACCTCCACCGCCCATGCCTCTCCAGCTTGAGGCCCATCTCCGCAGTCATGGGCTGGAGCCAGGAGCCCCCAGCCCCCGTCTGCGACCTGAGGAGGGCCTGGAGCCACCAGGCGCCATGCAGGAATTGCTTGGGGCCCTGGAGCCACTGCCCCCTGGGCCTGGTGACACTGGTGTAGGCCCGCCTAACACCGAGGGCAAGGATCCCTCGAGTGCCTACCGCAGCCCCAGCCCACAAGGCACCAAGGCCCCCCGCTTTGTGCCACTCACCTCCATCTGCTTCCCTGATTCCTTGCTCCAAGACGAGGAGCGCAGCTTCTTCCCCACCATGGAGGAGATGTTCGGTGGAGGGGCAGCAGATGACTATAGCAAGGCTGGGCCACCTGAGGACGAAGGCGATCCCAAGGCGGGGACCGGACCACCTCCGGGCCCGCCTGCCTATGATCCCTATGGGCCTTACTGCTCCAGTCGGGCATCTGGAGCTGGGCCTGAGACGCCGGGCCTGGGCCTGGACCCCAACAAGCCTCCTGAGCTGCCCTCCACAGTCAACGCCGAGCCTCTGGGCTTGATCCAGAGTGGGCCACACCAGGCGGCCCCACCACCTCCTCCACCCCCTCCACCACCTGCCTCAGAACCCAAGGGAGGCCTGACCTCACCCATCTTCTGCTCTACCAAGCCAAAGAAGCTGCTCAAGACGTCTTCCTTCCATCTGCTACGGCGCCGTGACCCGCCCTTCCAGACACCCAAGAAGCTGTATGCCCAGGAGTATGAGTTTGAGGCTGATGAGGACAAGGCTGATGTGCCTGCTGACATCCGCCTGAACCCCCGGCGTCTACCTGACCTGGTATCCAGCTGCCGCTCCCGCCCAGCCCTCTCACCGCTGGGTGATATCGACTTCTGTCCACCCAACCCTGGCCCTGATGGCCCCCGACGCCGTGGCCGCAAGCCCACCAAGGCCAAGCGTGATGGCCCACCCCGGCCCCGAGGGAGGCCCCGGATCCGCCCACTGGAGGTCCCCACCACTGGTGGGCCAACCTCAGCCTCCACGCCCAGCGATGTGGCCAAGAAACCCCGGGGTCGGGGCCGTGGCCGAGGCAGGAAGGCTGAGGAAGCAGGGGGAACCCGGCTGGAGCCCCTGAAGCCACTTAAGGTGAGGGTGACTGGGGCTACATTTGAGGTTCTTGGGTGTGATGGGGGATATGGTTTATATTTCTAAAATCTATGAGGAAATGAACTATTGGGGAAAGCTGAGAATTGAAACCGGCATCTAGAGGGAGGCAATGGGCTGGAGTTTGGGTTCTTAGGTTCTAGATCCTAAAGGACTAGCGACTGGGGATCCTCGATTCCTGGGTCTTGTGGGAAGAGGATCTGGAGCCCTGGACTCTGGGCTGTGAGCAAGGAAAGGTCAGTGAATAATGAGTAAGGGACTCCAGTCCTTTCATTCTGAAATCAGAGAAGGGTCTATGGGCTTGAATTCTAGGATTCTACAGGCTGAGTCTGGGAATTTGAACTTTAGGATCTTAAATGAGTTGGGGGCTAAGGGCCCTGCCCCCTGGATCAGGGAGGAGGGGACTTGGGGCCCCAGACTCATGGGCCCTGACTCCCCACTGCCCCCATATCTAGATCAAGCTGTCTGTGCCCAAGGCTGGTGAGGGTCTGGGAGCCTCATCAGGCGACGCCATATCGAGCACTGACCACAACAGCCTGGATTCAAGCCTGACTCGGGAGAAGATTGAGGCCAAGATCAAGGAGGTGGAGGAAAAGCAGCCAGAGATGAAGTCTGGCTTCATGGCCTCCTTCCTGGACTTCCTCAAGTCAGGCAAGCGCCACCCACCGCTCTACCAGACTGGCCTAACACCCCCACTCAGCCCCCCCAAGAGCGTGCCACCTTCTGTGCCAGCCCGAGGCCTGCAGCCCCAGCCCCCCACTGCCCCTACCGTGCCACACCCCCCACCCACTGGGGCCTTTGGGCTGGGGGGCGCACTGGAGGCCGCTGAAAGTGAGGGGCTGGGATTGGGCTGTCCTTCGCCTTGCAAGCGGCTAGACGAGGAGCTGAAGCGGAATCTTGAGACCCTGCCCTCCTTCTCCTCGGATGAGGAAGACTCTGTCGCCAAGAACCGGGACCTGCAGGAGAGCATCTCCTCTGCCATCTCTGCCCTTGATGACCCACCCCTCGCCGGGCCTAAGGACACCTCCACCCCTGATGGGCCTCCCTTGGCTGCTGAGGCTGCAGTCCCGGGGCCACCGCCTCTCCCAGGGCTCCCCAGTGCCAGCAGTAATGGCACGCCTGGTAAGCTCTGGGAAGATGTTCCCAGGGCAGGGTGGGGCTTTCCTGTTATTTGGGACACCGGTATGATTGAGCAGAGTACACAGTATTTAAGGGACACTGTTTGCGTTTGATGATGTAGATTTGCATATTTACGGAGCTAACTTCCTGATGAGAGCAAACAAGTGTTTTGAGAAAGCGGCATCTTTTTCTAATTTGCCCACACATGCTAAGTGGACTGGCAGGGCCCCAAAGTGGGCACTGGAGAATGCTGGCGGGGGCAAGGCAGGTTATAAGTGATGGGGACAAGTGGGTGATAGGGTACTCAGGGAGCTTTTAAAACTGGTGTGGGATCCGGGGTCTGAGAAGGGTTCTGGAAGTTAGTGACGTGTGATGAAAGACAGGTATATGGGGGCAGAGAGAGACTTGGGGAGGGTGGTTTAAAGAGAGACAGGAACACCTGACTAGTCAGGTCTTATGGGGGGTAGGAGGGAAAGGTTGAGGGTACAGTCGAGTCTAATGGGATTCTGTCCTGAGAGAAGCTTCAGACAAAATATAAGGGACTTTGATGGGATGGGGGAACAGAGGCACTGGGGGATGGAAGGGGGTGTGGAGGGGGGCATTTGGGGCAGTTAATGAGGGGGCTTGAGGGATTAGAATAATCTTAAGGAATGGAGAGGTTTTGGGGGGACTGTAGAAAAGTGGGAAATGGGGAGTGAGGAAAAGAGGGTGTGAGGCCGAAGGGAAGAGAGGAACACCAGACGGTTCTAAGCAGAGTGTAGGTTCTGTTGTAATCAGTGAGAGAGAGTGCCTTGGATCTGGACGGCTCCTAGCTAAGGACACAAGGATGGAAAAGAAGCATTGTTAGTGATCAGGAGAGATTTCAATGTATTAGAGGGGGGGTGTTAATAAAAATCCATGGGAGAAGAAAGAAGGGCATTAATTACTGAGAGAATGGAGAACAGGCCAAACAGGGAAGGACTTGGATGGAAGAGGACGAGACCTCTGAACAGAAAATGAGGAGGTAGAGGCACAGAGGGAATGATTTTAGAATTAGGAGGAACATTAAAGAATGAGAGGTAAGAGCCAGACAAGGGCATTGAAGCAACAAAGACATTTCAGGATTAAAGTGGGCATTAGGATGCGAGATGGGTTTCTCGAGGCTCAGAATAGTGCTGGAGCTGGGAAGGGGTCTCCCAGAGGGATTTTGGCTTGGCAAAGGGCTATGGGGATTGAGTGGTGATAAGGGGCAGAGGGGCTGTTGGCATAGGAAGGGACATTCAGGTTCAGGAGCAAGAGGAGAGGTGCTAGGGATGGTGAATAATATTTGGGAAGTCGGAGGCACATCAGGGCAGGGCAAGGAGCTTTGTAGGGGACTCCCGATCATGGCAGGGCAGGGGGCGGGAGGGCAGGACACCTTGAACAATGATATTGGGACAGAGAACTACACTAAGAGATGGAGCCTTTGAAGGCTGGGGAGAGAGCAAGGAACAGAGCAGTAGGTCTGGGTAGGAAGGCTGATTAGGACATTGGAGAGAAGTTAAAGGTACATGATCTTCTGTGGTGTCTGGGGACAGGGATGGGTATTGAAGATCAGTGAGGGGACAAGACGGGTGAGCAGGGTCAGACAAGCTTTAAAGAAGGAGCAAGGGCAACAGAAGAGGAATAAGTGGGATGATGGGTGATTTGGGGGGCAGATGGGTGGTGGCTGAAGACTCAGCTGGATCAGGAAGGATGTTGGGGTGCAGGGTGGGCAGAGGGGTGTGTTGGGACCCCGTAGAGGAGACTGGGAAAGGGCTGGGACTACCTTTCACTGACAGCGGATTCGAGGGGCAGTGGGGACTTGAGGGACATGCAGGGATGCTGGTCAGCAGGTTGAAGCTCTGGGAGATGGTGTAGGGGGGAAAGGGGTCCAGCCCTGACGTCCCTCTCACCCCCAGAGCCCCCACTGCTGGAGGAGAAGCCCCCACCCTCTCCACCGCCCGCCCCGACGCCCCAGCCGCCACCCCCGCCGCCAGCACCGGCCCTGCCTTCGCCGCCTCCGCCAGCCGCCGCCCCGCCAGAGGAGCCCGCCGCCCCATCCCCCGATGATCCTGAGCCGCCTGATGCCCGGCCCCTGCACTTGGCCAAGAAGCAGGAGACAGCAGCTGTGTGTGGGGAGACTGACGAGGAGGCCGGCGAGAGCGGCGGGGAGGGCATCTTCCGCGAACGCGATGAGTTTGTCATACGCGCAGAGGACATTCCTTCCCTCAAGGTGAGTCCCCTGCATGCCCCAGGATGCGCCCCATGGATTTGGTCGCTTGAGTATTGAGCACCTGCAGGATGACAGGCCAGTGCTGGGGGTGTAGGTGCAGTAATGGCTAAGACAACCCATCAGAAGTGATGAGATGGCCAGCTGGAGCAGTGGAGGACATGCTGGCCTCAGATGTTTTGTGTGTATGTTACTTATAAAGAAGATAAAACAGTTGCTAACTGTTTATTGCAGATACTCTGGGTGCTAGGGTTACAGTAAGGATCAAAGCAGGTGAGGGTCTGGTCTTATGGACCTTCTAATTGGATGGCACGAGCCAAGAGACAAACAGCTTTTGTGATTTGTGCCTAATGGTGAAAACATGAGGAGTTAACATACCTATGATTACACATTCATCACCTGTAAATGTAATAATAGCCAATGTTTTGGGAATACTTGTATGTCGGGCACATCTTAAACATTTTATGCAGACCAGCCCATTCACTGCTTCCAATTACTTCACATCAGGGATTTGCAAATTTTGCCCACGTGGGCCAAATGTAGCCCATTGCCTGTTTTTATAAAAAGTTTTATTGGCACACAGCCATGCCCATTCATTTACATGTTGTCTGGCAGCTTTCTCCATATAATGGCAGAGTGGGGTTGTTTCAGCAGGGCTGGCCCACAAAGCCAAAAATATTTCCTATCTGCCCTGTTACAGAAAAAGTTTGCTGGCCTCTGCTGTACTTGGTTCCTTGGACAGGTAGAATTGGATCAGAGGATTAATGAAAGTATTTGACAAGGGTAGGTGACATCAGATGCCTGTATAGTGCTCACAGGGCATGAGGCAGAGCGAGTACTTGGTAGGTCAACAAGCTATTATCACCCTGATGGTGACACCGAAGGCTAAGGCCATTCTCCGTATTAGTCGCTGTTACTGACTAGGTTTTGACTATGGGAAACTGTGTTCAGCCCTTGATGTATGCTATAGTTTAATTTAATCTTAGGTGTTGTTTCTTCTAAAGTACAAGTGGGGAAATTGTGGGATGAATTAATTATTAGGTTATTGGAAAAGTCATGACGTATTTTTTCTGTTTTTTCGTTGCACAAATGTGTCATGACTCTTACGACAACCCAATATAAGGATAGTGACTATTGTTACACTTTTTATTAAGTGTGTTTTGTGAGACGAACTTAATGTGGCTTTTCCTGTATTACTTTAAATCTATTTTATTGTGGAAAAGCAGAGCAAGCAGGACAGTGGGACGGTTATGTACCCATTACTCAGCTTCCACCATCGAGACCTGGCTTGTCCTGCTTCCTCTCCACTCTGGCACATTCTGCCTTCTGCCCCACCCCAGCAACCCCAGACATCATATCCTTTCACTCATACTTTATCACCTTTTTAGCATAACATTTGATACATACAAAACAACAGTCATAAGAGATATATACGTTATAACACAAAATGCTGGAATGAACACTCATGTCTCATCAACACCCAGCCAGCAACCCGAACATTCCCAATACCTCAAGTCTCAGGTGTCCGTCCACTCCCTGACCAGTCCTTCTGCGCCCTCCATGGTTGTACTCAGCCTCATAGTGCCCTTTGTACATTATTCCATTTTAACTTGATGACTTCAAGAGGCTGATTTGGCCAATCAGCCTGGGACAGGCAAGGAAGATGTTCAGCAAACAGCAATGATAGGAATGGCTACCGACTGCTCAGGGGACAGGACTTGGGGCATGTCACAGTTGAAATTTAGTTTGATCTTTTTTTTTCCCCTTTAATTGTAATCTATATGTCCCGCAAAGTTGATCTTTTTAACCATTTTTAAGTGTACTGCTCAGTGTCATTAGTATATTCACATTGTTGTGTAACCATCACCACCATTTGTCTCCAGGTTTTATCTTTATAATTATCTTCTTTTATAGGGATTATTATCCCCATTTTACAGGGAAGGAAACTGAGGCTCAGAGCAGTAAAGTAGCCTTCCCAGGTTTTTGCAGCTAGGACCCATTCCCAACTTTGCTTGTGCCACCCTTCACCCCCACATACACACCAGAACCAGTGCTCTTAGCATCAGATTCAGCTGTTCTCTGTTATTCTATCAAACATTGACGATGACAGCAGCCAGTGCTGCTGGCCACCCAGCACTGGGACAAATGACACAATGCTCTAGGGCAGGAACTGTGACTTTCCCAACTTACAGATGAGGAAGTTCACGTTCAGAGAGAGGGAATTCTTCTGCTGGTGGGTGCCGAGCCAGGATTGGAGGCAGGATTGGAGCCAGGGCCATCTGATACCACCTCCCAGCTGGCACAGGACAGGGGAGGGGACCGGGCAAGGACTCAGATGCTTAAAATACAACACGACTGTGCATTATAATGGGGGACACACAGCCCCAGGACTGAGCCACCAGAGCAGATGTTGGGGACTTGTTCCTGTGCCTGGAGCCAGTGCAGGCTGGTGGTATGGCTATTGAGAGCCCAGCTTTGGCTTTAACCTGACTGGCTTAGATTTCTGCCATTTCTGAGTTGGACTGGTGTTGAACATCCCTGAGCCTCGGTTTCCTCATCTGTAAAATGGTACTGACAATATTAATACGTCTTCATGCAGCGTGAGAACTCAGGCGATACGGTTTGTCCGGTGCTCCTACTGTGGGGAGCACATAGAAGGTGTCCTAAAACCTTTGCTTCTGTTATTCATCTCGGTGATGTTGGGCAAATCTCTGGTGCAGAGCTTGGCAAAGTTTTTCTGTAAAGGGCCAGATAGTTAATATCTTAGGCTTTGCAGACCACTTAGGGTCTCTGTCACATATTCTTTTTCTTTTTTCCTTTTTTACAGTCTTTTAAAAATGTAGAAATCATTCTTAGCTCTTAGATCTGTAAAAATGGGCCACTGGCCAGAGTTTGTCCTAGGACAGCGACAGTCCAATAGAAATAGCATATGAGCCATATACAATCATTCTTGGATCCACATTTTTAAAAAGCTAAAAGATGGGTGAGATTAGCCCCAGGAATGTATGTTCTTTAACCAGCATATCTAAAAATATCATTTCATCATGTAATCAGTATAGAAAAAGTTAATGAGATGTTTTACAAATTCCTTTTTTGCATTCCAAGTCTTTGAATTCCATTGTGTATTTTACACTCATAGAACATAACTGATTCAAATCAGCTGCATTTCAAGTACTCGAGAGCCATGTATGTTGAGGGGATGCTGAACTGGACAGTGCAGGGTTAGCCCGCTCTCTGCTTCAGCCTCCTCCTCTGTAGTATAGGAGTGATCATATTAACTCCCAGTTCTTGGGGATGTTGAAGATTTCGCAGGATGTAAACTCTGAGCATGTAAGTTTGTTGGATGTCGAAGAGTATGGGGAGGACGGTCCAGGCAGAAAGAACAGATTGGGCAAACGGTCTGTGGTCAGGGATGTGACATGTTTGTGATGTGCAGGGATGCAAGGGGTTGAATGGCTGGACAGTGAGCACCAAGGCTCGGAAGGTGGGCAGGGGCCAGATCATCCTGGGGTGAGATCATAGGACACCTGCATGAGAATCTGCTCTGGGTTGTCTGGCCACTGCTAGGGCCCCTGGCCAGCAGGAATGTGGCTAGGGCAATGTCTGGTCCTGGTGACAGTCTGTCCACTGCCTCAGTTCTGTGACAGTGACTTCTGTGTTAGTAGACCCTGCAGCTTTCTTCTTAACATCAGGCTGAGTTGGCTCTAGCTTACTCACACCCTGCTGCTTATTGTCCTTGTCTCAGCTTGTCACAGTTCAAATTCCCAGAAGAGAATCTGATTGGTCCAGCTCAGCATTTTGGGTTGAGATGATGTTTGTGATTTGGCTGTTAATTGGCTGCACCTGGTTAGATCTCCGCCAGTCAGCTGTGTGGCAGGGACTGTGGGTGGGGCAACTTCCCTAGTAAGTGGAAGTGGGTGTGGTTGATGGTATGATTGACATGAGAAGAGGCAGGGAGGACTTGGCTTTGGGGCTATCTGGCACTGGTTGAGGAGCCGGCAAGGATGATTGCTAGGTGATTGGGTCCGATGACTGGGGGAATGCTGGGGATCCTGGGAGAAAGAGTGATTTGGGGGAAGGTGTCAAGCCCAGTTGAGATGTAGTGAACCCAGGGGCCTGAGTTCAGCTAGAGCAGGGGTCGGCAAACTGCGGCTCTTTGGGTACATTCAGTCTCAAAAGTTTGCCGACCCCTGGAAGAGCCAATCTTGTCCCTCACAACAATTTAAAAATTATTCGAGAGCCATAAATATATTTTTACATAATCACCATTATGTGAATAACATCCTTCAAAAATTTTACAAATGAAACTACGATAGTTTTATTTTTATTTTCAATTTTACTTCAGAGCCTGTGGCTCGCGAGCTGCAGTTTGCTGACCCCTGGCGGTGCTTCTGTCTCAAAAGTTTGCCGACCCCTGAGCTAGAGAATCAGGTGGCCCCTTAGAGCAGGCAGATTAGCAGGGGAGGAGACCGAGGAGGGAGTGGTCTCCCCTGGCTGGATTTCTCAAAGGTTTCTGAGCTTTACAACAGGACATATCATATTCGCATTGAGAAGGAAAAGGCACTTCTGGTGGGGAACCCTCCCTGCATGTGCAAAAGCCTGGAGATCAGAAAGTCTGGGGCTTGATTGCTGAGCTTTGAGGGGTCTGATTGGCATGCGGGGCAGGGTCAGGAGAAAGGAGAGGAAACTGAGGCAAAGCCTCTCTGTGCAAGGCTGTGGAATCTGCATTGGTGGCCCTGGAAGGTTTTGGAGCAGGGCAGGACATAAATGGACTTTTTTAAGTCTTTGAAAAGGATTTGAAATGAACTTTTGGATCCTTGAGCCTCTGGGAGCCAGGAGGGTGGACTGAGAACCGTGGTATCCTGGAGGAAGGCACTTGGAGTTGGGACACTTCCATCCCTGTCTTATTCTTCCTCACTCTTGTATGAGACTTCAGGCAAGAGCTTTTTGAATCTCATTTTCATCAGATTGTTCTAACCTCTTCTTTGTGTTCCATTGGTTGATCTGAGGGACACGAAAAATCATGGATGTGAAAGCAGTTGACCCAAAACCAAGAGTAGGTAGCCAATACCTGGCATGCAGGCTTCAGTGTTGCAGCGGCTGCCAGTGGCAGACATCACTAATTGAGCCCATCATTTGCTCACTAATTGAGCCCATCATTTGCTCCTGCTGAGCTTGGTACTCAGGGCAGCCATGATCAGTCAATTGGAGTTATCATCTGAATTCTGTTTTATCATTTGACTGGTTTCTCTGAATGAGGGGACTGTCCTTCATTCATCTCTTGGTTATCACAACGCCCAGCGCACTTTTCCCTCTATGTTATTATTTTTTACTTATCTGTTCCTGTCAGTTGCTCTCTTCTAGAGCCACGGCTGTCATATACTTTCCATGGCAGTCCTGGTCTTATCCCAGGCACCTTATGGAAGGGGACATGGTCCTTCCAGCACTCATTTAGGTGTCACTTCTTCCAGGAAGCATTCTTGGATTCAGATTAAGTTCAGGGTCCTTCTAGGATTCTCGGGCATCCACTATTAGCACATTTATCACTTGTGCCATGTCTGGCCTAAAGAAATAACACTGCTCACTCCCTGAAATCAGGTGCTGGGTCTGACTCACAGCCATCAGTTTCCAATGCCCAGCCAGGGGCACACACGCCTTGGTGAGGGGGTGAGAGTCTGAGTATTGTCGGGGGAGTGTAGATGGGGGAAACTTTCTTGTACCACGTCCTGCCCTACTATGGATAGGCTGATGAAATAAATGGTCTCAGGTAACCTGTCACCTGTCTGTTCTTGGCACAAGCCACAACTTTACCCTGCTTTGTTTATTTGCTTGTCTGTCTTGTTACCTCTGTAATGAAGACTCCATAAATGGCTTTGTCGATCTCTTTCACTGCTATACCCCAGGGCCCAACATGGTGTCTAGAAATTGGCGGGTGGCTGCTCAGGTTTTGCCACTGCTTTGAGTCATGTGGGAGGCTTGTTACCATCACACCGTAAACCTATATAACTGAAACCTTTTAGCCCAAGAATGAACAGCTGGATTGAATCATTGGCTAAGCCGTAGGAGGACAGGGCCAGACTCCAGCTGCATCCCCAGGGCTTAGAACATCATGAGGCCCAAAGATATCTGTCAGCTGGATGTTTGTTGATCCTTATTCACGACGATGTCTTTTCTCTAAGTGGGTATAGAGGGAGTTCAGAGGGCCAGGAATTGGGGGGGTAGGGACAGAAATTGGGGCTGACCCTGCCAGCCTCGCTGTGCTCCTCCTCAGCTGGCGTTGCAGACGGGGCGTGAGCCCCCACCCATCTGGCGAGTCCAGAAGGCCCTGCTACAGAAATTCACCCCAGAGATCAAGGATGGGCAGCGGCAGTTTTGTGCCACCAGTAATGTAAGCCTGCAGAGGGCAGCAAAGACGTGGGCCCGGGTGGGGTGTCTGGAAGCCGGGGTCCCCCTCACACAGGGCTCTGATTCACCCTTGGCCTAAGGTGTGTCTAGCTGCTGTGGTGGCCCAGGGCGGGGTGGGAATCTTGGGTGTCGGGCCACCTGGGGAGGGGGGGAGGTGAAGGAGTTCCATGTATGCCTCGTTCCCTCCACAGTATTTGGGGTATTTTGGGGACGCAAAAAACCGGTACCAGCGCCTTTATGTAAAGTTCCTGGAAAACGTCAACAAGAAGGATTACGTGAGGGTCTGTGCTCGGAAACCCTGGCATAGGCCCCCAGTGCCTGTCAGGTACCATGGGGGCTCGGGGGCAGGTGGTGGGCAGGGCCAACAGGCAATGGGGTGGAACACACAAGAGAGGAAATAGAGTCAGGGGGAGGGAACAGAGAGCCAGAGAGAGACAGAGCCAGAGAGAGAGAGAGGGAAACAGAGACCCTGAGATGGGGGGACAGAGACATGGAGGGTGGGGGACAAAGACCAAGAGAGAGATGGAGACAGGCCCAGAGCAGGAGGGACAGAGACTTAGAGAGAGGAAACAGCACCTTGGTGTGAGGGAAGCTTGTTCTATGCTTAGAGCTATGGGCTAGTGGGGCGGGGGGGAGGTAGGTGGTGGGAGTAGATGGTCCCAAGGAGAACTTGGGTTTCTTGGGAGCTGCTAACTGTAATTCCTTCTATGTATGTTCCTGTTCAGACGCTCCGGGCAGGCCAAAGGCCCTGCGTCTGCTGGGGGCAGCTCTGCACCTCCCCCCAAGGCCCCAGCACCACCTTCTAAGCCTGAGACCCCTGACAAGACGACACCTGAGAAGCCCCCAGAGCAGACGCCTGAGACGGTCGTGCCTGAGCCCTCTGTCCCTGAGAAGCCGTCCCCAACACGGCCTGTCGAGAAGGAAAAGGAGAAGGAGCGAGTAACACGTGGAGAGCGGCCGCTGCGGGGTGAACGGGGCACAGGCGGGCGGCAGACACGGCCTGAGCGGAGCCTCACCACAGGACAGCCTGCCACCTCCCGACTGCCCAAGGCCCGGCCCACCAAGGTGAAGGCTGAGCCACCCCCCAAGAAGAGGAAGAAGTGGCTAAAGGAGGCAGCAGGCAATGCCTCAGCAAGCGGGGGCCCACCAGGCAGCTCCTCAGACTCAGAGTCATCCCCCGGAGCGCCCAGCGAGGATGGTGAGGCCCTTGGCAACCACGGAGCTGGTGGGGAGGCTTGGGGAAGTGACTCTGAGGCCTTCAGAAAGAGGCATGGGTGAGGGCAGACCAGAGGGCTCCAGGTCGTGTCAGCAAGACAGGAATAATAATAATAAGTCAAGTAAAAATACTATCAATAACTAACAATTATGTGGCAGCTAACTATGTGACAGACTGTCCTCTAAGTTCTTTATGCATATTAACTTGTATAATTTTCACAGTAGTCCTAGGAAGTAGATACTAACTATTATCCTTATATACAGATGAGGAAACTGAGGCACTACGAGAGTGCAGCACAGCTGGGATGTGGCATCCCACCCAAGTCGGAATTCAGCCAGCAGAGCCTCAGGCTCCATTCTTCAATGCTGTACTGTTTTGTCTCCAAATAGGCAGGTTCTGAGGGCTGAGGAATATAGGAGAACAGATTTATCCTGGAGGCCCAGAAATAGTGGTATTCCCCATGACTTGCTGGGTGACTCCAGAAAAGGGGCATCACCTCTTCGTTCCTTAGTGACTTCACCTGTAAAATGGGTTAATAATAGATAAAGCACATAGACGGGTACGTCTCCTCCATAGTAGGCACCAGATGTGAGCTCCGTTGCATAGAAGGATGTCTGGTTTATGATGACAATAACAACAACAAAACTATATGTACACATGTGTAAAATGTAATGGCCAAAATATTGAGTTCTTACCAGGTGCCAGGCATCATTTTAAGCATTTTACACATGGCTTATTTTATCTTTACATAAACCCTGTGAGGTAGGTGCTATAGAATTACCCTTAATTTTAAAGATGAGAAAACAGGCACTGGGAGGTGACATAACTTGCTCAAGGTCACTAATTCAGGTATAGTGCAGGGGTACCGGTTTTAACAGAGACTATAAACATGCAAATAATCAAATGAGAGATGGAATTCTTTCCAACAAAGCCCTAATGCACATGGGAAAGTCATGAAGAATAAGAGGCTCTTCTCAAGGTTGTCCATGTTCTCAATTTCTTTTCCTCTTGTTACTCTGTCATCCCCCAGTATGCTGTCCTCAACCACATGGTCATAGATAGCCTCGCAGCCCCATAGCTACAGTCCTGCCGGTAGGAAGGGACACAATGGCAGGGAAATGGCTCCTCTTTCCTTTTAAGTGCCCGATCTGAGTGGGCGTGGCCCACAGCCTGTCTCCTCATATCCCATTGGCTAGAACTAGTCATGTGGCCAAACCTAGCTGCAAGGGAGCCTGAGAAATGTAGTCTTAACTGGGCAGGCCATGCTGAATCAGGCCAAGTGGAAGCAGTTAAAGCTGGGACAGAAAAGTATGGCAAAGGGGGAGGTTTACCAAAGGCCTAGATTTGCAGGTCTTTCCTTATCTGGCACTCAATTTTCTTTTTTCTTAAACAAGTTTATTCGTCTAATTCACATACCATCTAGTTCACCTATTTAAGATGTGTAATTCACTGGCTTTTAGTATAGTCATAGAGTATGTTCATCTCCGCAATCAATTTTAGAACATTTTCATCACCCCAAAAAGAAAACCTGCAGCCTTTGGCTGTTACTCCCCTTTCTCTCTTCCCGCCAGCTCTAAGCAACCAGTAATATACTATCTCTGTGGATTTGCCTATCCTGGACGTTTCATATAAGTGAAATTATACAATATGTAGTCTTTTGTGATCGGCTTCTTCATTTACTGTAATGTTTTTGAGGTTCATCCACGTTGTAACAGGTATCAGTGCTCCGTTCCTTTTTATGGTTGAATAATACTCCACCGTATGAATACATGACATTTTATTTTATTTATCCATTCACCAATGAATGGACATTTGGGTTGTTTTCGCTGTTTGGCTATTGTGAGTAATGCTGCTCTGAACATACGTCGACAGCCATGAATTTTCTCAGCCTGGGAAGTAGGGGGACTGAACTCTGCACTATTAGGGGTACATTTCCCCTGCCAAGGGTCAGTTTCTTTCTCTGGGTCTGGGTTTGTTTTCCCTCCCCCATTTGACCTAGAACTCATTCAGGGCTGGATGAGCCTGACTCATGTTGGGATGCCCTGAAGGCTTTGCCCAGCCCAAGAGGCCTCAGAATCAACCCTCTTGCTTGTCCACGTACTTGAAGTTGATGCTCTGTCCTTTCTGGTTATTCACAATGAAAGTTCTGGAAAGAGGCTGCAGTGATGTCCTCTCCCCCTCTTCTTTTAGTCCACTCTCAGTCAGCCTCCTCACCTCTTTCTGAAAATGTATGTTGAGTTCCTACTGTGTGCCATGACTGGGGTTCCAGCAATGAACAAAATAGACAAAAATATGTGTCCTCATGGGAGCTTCCATTCTAGCCGGGGGAGTCAATCAGATAAATATGTTATGTAATAGAATACAAAGCAATATGAAAAACCACCAGCGTAAGGCTGGGGAGGATTAAAGGCAGTTAAGAAACATAAATCCAGTAAAGGGGATCCAGGCGGCATACTGAGTGATGTTTTCAGGGAAGGGAGGGAGTTGGGGAAGGCTTCTGGAAATGACATTGGAGCAGAGATCTGAACACAACGGGATCATGTGACTTTGGGGGAGAGAACATTCCAGGCTGGGCGTGTCTGAGGATCAGGAAGGAGGCCAGTGGCTGGAGTGAGTAAGAGAAGAGGGTGAGAAGTGAGGGCAGAGAAGGAACAGGAGCAGATCTTAGAGGGACAAGGCTTTGTGGCCCCACTGGTAGGATTTTACCTCGATCGAGACAAAGCCATAGGTGGGTTTGGGCTTAGGTCTAACAGGGTCTGACTCCCACGGCCAAGTAGTCACTCCAGCCCCTTGAAACAGTTGTCACGAGGGACCCTCCATGTGGATAAATCAAGTAGACATTTCTCATACTTCCTGAGGGACATTTTGGGGCCTTCTCATGGTTCTCTTTTCTTCCCAGCACTCCTTGGGTTTCTTGTGGGTGTCCCTGAAGTCCTGTCCTTGGCCTTGTTGCTTCTCATTCTCTACCTCTTACTTGGCAGGCTCCCACAACTTTCCCGTGAGCCTCAGGCTTGTTTCTTCCCCCTGGCCACCATCCAGGCCTCCCCTAAACCCCCTCCCTCCAGCTCCCACTGAGTTCCTTGTCCTAGATTCCCTATCTCAGGGACAGCCACACTGGCTACCCAGTCACCAGGCCAAACCCTCCAGGCACCACACTTTGCTCTCACCTCCACAGCTCGGAAGCCTCCATCCCTAACCCTCCTGCTCTGACTGCCCCATCCCCTCTGCTCTTTCCCACAGCCCTGGCCCTCTCGATCTCTCTGTCCTGTCCCTGCCGCCCTGTACCAGCCTTATTCTTTCTTACCTCTCCGTTGACCTGTTCTCTGCTCTCACCCAGCCAATCCGTCCCATACATGGCCTCAGAGAGGTTTTTCTACACACATCCTCACCCCTTCCCTGCTCACAGCCCTCCCATGTGTCCACCAGGAGAAGCCCTTGCCCTTTCCATCTCTCACTGGAGGCCCTGCATGGTCTGGTCTTGCACTGATATGTGCATTCTCTGGTCCTATCTCCTCCCTCAATCTTGCCCTTTGTGATCTGATCTCTCTGACTTGATTCACTGGTTTGGAAACCAACTATGCTGCTTCTTTAGACTTTATTGAAGCTGCACTGAACTAGACAGACATGAAGTTCACTGACCTAGAATGCTCTTTCCTATCACTCAAGACTCAGTTCTTGTGCGACCTTGAACAAGCCTTCCCAGACTTGCCAGGCTGAGCTCATCAGTGCCTGTGATTCTGCCATAGAGCATGTTGCAATGGTCTTGTCAGTCTTCCCCAGCAGACTTGGGCCTTCCGGAGAACAAGGATTTCTCTCCTGGTCTTTGGTGCTTAGGATACTCTCTGCCACACAGGCGGCCTCAGAAGAAGTTGGAATAATGAGTCCGAGTCCCATTATTTTCCCCCAGAGCGGGCAGTACCTGGACGTCTGCTGAAGACCCGGGCAATGCGGGAGATGTACCGAAGCTATGTGGAGATGCTGGTGAGCACAGCACTCGACCCGGACATGATCCAGGCCCTGGAGGACACACATGGTGAGCTCAGGCCTGGGCAGCAAGGACCCAAACCCCAAACCCCTCCATTGCCCTGGTGCCTCATGGGGCTGTGGCTCTTCTGACACCCACCCCTCCTCATTTTTCAGACGAGCTGTACCTCCCGCCCATGCGGAAGATCGATGGCCTCCTGAATGAGCACAAGAAGAAAGTCCTGAAGCGGCTGTCGCTGAGCCCAGCCCTGCAGGTGCTTGGGGGTCCTGAGCAGGAGGTGTCTGGGTCCCAGAGGTCAGGCATGGAGGAGATATGTATATATATATATATATCAGCCACTGCGGTGGTTTCCAGAAGCATCTGGAGGGGGCAGTCGTTGGGAGGGTTGGGCTTGGCCAGAAGATAAGTTGAGAGCAGGGCTGTCAGGAGAGGTCTCTGTGTTCCCAGTAGCCCTGCAGACCCAGAGGGAGGGGAGCTAGGATGGTGTGGAGGGGTCATTGTGAAGGTCTGAGGTGGGCTATTGGGAATGTCCAGCAGAGTATGGTTATGGAGTGCAAGTTTGGGGACAAAGGCGTGTGCCCAGGGCCCGCTTGGATTCTGATGGCTTCTCCATTGATATAAGGCCGGCTCTTAGAATCTCCGTAAGTCATCTATGTAATTTCCCTGTGGCCTAGAGTTCTGGGATGGAATGTCAGGGCGGCTCTAGGAATTCTGGGATAGACTGTAAATCTGGCTTCTGAGAATTCTGATGGGGATTTTAGTGTGTTGCTAAGAATTTGGGGGTAGAATGTTAGGGTGACTCAGAATCCTGTGATGGAATGTTGATCCACCCTGAAAATTGTGGGGAGATGTTAGTATAGTTCTGAGAATTCTAGGAGGGAATTTTAGGCTGGCTATGATGGAATGTTAGTTGGACTCAGTAAATGGGGATAAAATGTCAATATAGTTCTAGAGCTCTGAGTGGGATGTTAGGATGACTTGAGAATTCTGGAATTGACTGTTAAGTCTGCCTCTGAGAAGTCTGAGTAGAATGTCATGCTAGAGTTAAGAATTCCATTATAGAATACAGGCACATCTCATTTAATTGCGCTTCGCAAATACTGCATTTTTTCTAAACTGAAGGTAAGACCCCCCGCCACCAGCAAAATATTACAACTTGCAAAGGCTCAGATTATGTTTAGCATTTTTTAGCAATAAAATATTTTTTAATGAAAGTATGGCCATTGTATTTTTAAACAGACTGTTACTGCACACTTAATAGACTATAGTATAGTATACACATAACTTTTATATGCGCTGGGATACCAAAAACTAGTGTGATCTCTTTAGTGATGTTTGCTTAATTGTGGTGGTCTGGGACCGAACCTGCGATATCTTTGAGATATGTGTGTAGTAGGATAGATCTGAGGATTATGGGATGGAATATTAGTCTGACGCTGGTGATTCTGGATTTTTGGCTGAGTCTTAGAATTTTGAGTCCTGGGCTGGGCCACAAAGCCCATGATAAGGGTCACCGAACAGGCTTAGGCTCCTATGTCCCTTTGAGGAGAGCAAGGCTTCTGAGTCTCTCTTGATCTGCAGCCTGGAGGAAACAGACATCTGCTGACTTGCGGAATCTGAGAACTGCGTGGTGGGTTTGGGGCATGTGGGACCAGGGAGGTGTACCACTGATCCGTTGTCCTCCCACAGGATGCCCTGCACACATTTCCTCAGCTGCAAGTAGAGCAGAGTGGGGAGGGCTCCCCTGAGGAGGGGGCTGTGCGGCTGCGGCCTGCTGGGGAACCCTACAACCGCAAGACGCTCAGCAAGCTCAAGAGGAGCGTGGTCCGAGCCCAGGTGGGGCCGGGGAGGGGTGGGATGGATGGGGTGAGGGGAGAGGGGCTGCCCAGTGCTGGGCGTGGACCTGAGGCTTCACCCCATCTGCCCAGGAGTTCAAGGTTGAGCTGGACAAGTCAGGATACTACACGCTCTACCACTCACTCCACCACTATAAGTACCACACGTTCCTGCGCTGCCGAGACCAGGTGAGTCTACCTGTATCACACATTGCCCTGCAGTTCTGCCCCTCACAGGGCTCTTCCCTGGACCCAGGAGTCCAGGCCCCCAGCCCCTCCCCCCCTCAGACCCTGGAGTCCCAGCCGTCTCTCCCTGGGACTCTGATCTCTAGGCCTCATGCCTCCTCCCACCCCATGCCTTGGTGGCCACCTGCCCCAGCTCCATGTTTAACCCCCTGCAGACCCTAGCCATCGAGGGCGGTGCTGAGGACCTCGGCCAGGAGGAGGTGGTCCAGCAGTGCATGCGGAACCAGCCGTGGCTGGAACAGCTCTTCGACTCCTTCAGTGACCTGCTGGCCCAAGCACAGGCCCACAGCCGCTGTGGGTGACCACACCCTGGCCTGAGGGGTGCCACCTCCTCCATCAACCGAGAATTGGGACAGAACTGTGTCCTCAGGCGCTAACCCCCAGGCCTTGTTGCCAGGGAAGGGGGAGGTCACTGGTCAGGGTGTGTCCGTGCTGCCCCCACAGGGCAGGGTTCAGAGTTCGACTCCCCCCCTCTCCCAGGTCCTCTCCACTCCCTCCCCATTCCTTTCACTGTCCGGTGTACAGAGAAATTATTTATATATATGTATAAATGTCTATTTAGTAACAGTTTCCCTCTTCCCCTGGCTCCACTGCCCACCCCCCCCCCTCCATGGCCATAGCCCCTGCCTCCTCCACCTTGTACATAATGTATAGGAAAAGTCTATGTATGGTTAAAGGGGGGCGGGGCGGCTTCAGAGAGCTGGGGGACCCCTCCCCCCAAACCCCCTTTACAGGCCAAGATCTTTGCTAAAGGCCATTCCCTCCCCAGGGCATTCGGCTTCGGGTGGGAGGGGGAAAACGCATCTTGTTAATTATTTTTAATCTTATTTATTGTACATACCTGGGGCGGGGGGCTGGGAGGTGGAGGGGGAAGAAGGGTCCCCTCCCTTTGCGCCTCCCACTCCTTTTCTACTGCAATTTGTCTGTGTCTCCCCCCAACACACACACCGACCCCATCCCATTGTCGTCTGGATGTGGTTCTATTTTTTATCGGTCTCCCCTGCCCCCTCTCTCTAACCCCTCTGCTCCCACCTCCCCACCACCCGTTGTCTCTTGCTCTTTCTTGGGCTTCTGTACAACTCAACTTGTACACACTGTGTACACACAACCAGCCAAACGAAAACCCAACGGCAAACACTTTATCAGCCGGCTGGAGTGGCTCTGTCCTGCGGCGTCTGGGTAGCCCTGGGGTGGCACGGGTGGAGGGTCTGGAAATGAAAGGTGGATTTTCTGGAGTCCTGGGTAAGGTAGTTGGGCTGGGGTCATTGTATCTGTTATGTGTCACTATGTAACAGAGCCCACACCAAAATTTAGTGACTTAAGAAATATTTATCATTGTACAGTTTCCGAGGATCAGGAATTTGGGATCAGGTTAGCTGGGTGGTGCTGACCTAGGGTCTGTAATGAAAGTACAGTCAGGTCATCCGCTAGGATGGCAGTCTTCAAGGGTTTGACTGGAGTTGCAGGATCCAGTTTTAAGGTGGCTCACTTGAGTGGCTGTTGGCTGGAGACTTCAGTTTCTTGCCACATTGACGTCACCCGTAGGGCAGCTTGAGTGTCCTCTACATGGCAGCTGGCTTCCCGGAGAGTGAGTGATCCAAGGAAGAGACAAAGAGGTAGCCACGAGATTTTTGTCATACACCATTGCTTCTGTCACCTGTTCATTAGAGGAGTGCATAAAGCCCAGCACACATTCAGGGAGAAGGGAGTTAAGCTCTGCTTAGTGAAGGGAAAAGTATAGGAATTTTTGGATGTATTTTTAAACCATTGTAGGCAGTGACAGGTGTCGGGAGTTGACCAGCTTTCTCTTGGCTCCCTAATGTAGACTTGAGGGAGTTCTCTGTGTTCTTGAACCCTGAAACTACAAGGTCACAAGTGGACTGGCAGTTTAGATGCAAGCACCCAGAGGTGAGGATGGATTCTGTATACTTAAGCCTTGCTGCTGCTCAGTGTGATCCAGGACTGCCCTGTGGGTCTCCTAAGAGCTTGTAGAAATGTAGTCTCTTAGCGTCTCTTTCAAATCAAAACCCACTTTTTAGTAATAAATCCTGGGAGGATTAGAAACACCTTCAAGTTCAAGGAGCAATGTTATAGAACAAGAATTTAAAGTTTGAAGGTCAACTGTGACAGTATTGTAGAACCCAGCCCATAAAATGGTGAGTAAGCCACGGTGGTTCGAGTCTGGACACTGTCATCAAATATGGAATGTTGGTATTCTAAAACCTTGGTATTAGCATTGAGGGTGGCTGGTCAGTGGGGAGATACCCAGTGTGAGATTGATTTAGCGGTAGATCATCAGCATTCTAGATACCTTTCTGGGTGAAACTGGGTTAGAACCCCCATTGTTCTAGAATCCTGGATGTTACCTACACCACTAGATGCTGATTCTAGAGCTCTAGTTTTGCAGAATGGAGGATGGATAGTAACGCTGGAGACCATAATGGGAGAGTCAGTGATGAACCATGGACTTGCTAGAATCATCTTAATCAGTTAAGGGCATTGTGGATGGACCGTTAGTGTCCTTGAACTGTGGCCTGTACCATGTTAGGGATGTGGCACATTCAAGGTTCTGGACTGGGATGTCAAGTTGGAGCCAGAGGTTCCAGGATCAACGTCCCAGGTCAGCTCTGGGATAGAAAGTGGATGGAGTGGTCAGAAGGTGGATGGTGGGATTAAAATAACCTTGTGGTTGGCCTTTGGAATTCAACTGCCCAAACTAAATCCCAGCTCCAGCACTAACCAGGTGAGTTGGAGAATAGCCCTCCCTTCCTTAGCCTTGTCATTCATCTGTAAAATGGGCTTTTGTCTAGAAGGAAACAACGTGTTTGAAGTACTTAGTTCCTGCTACCCATAGCAGGCGACCCCGAGAGGTTTGTCGAGGTCCAAGAGATTGCAAGAAGGAAAAAGGATGACAGAGATGGACATCAAAACCCTGAGAAACAATCACTGAAAGCCTGCCAGAGCCCAGGGGAGGGCAGGAACCAGAGAGACTCATGGGCACACACACGTTTCTAGGGAGTTGCCAACTAGGCTGTCCCAGCCTCATCACTGATGAACTTTGGAATGGTGGTTGCAAACCTTCCAAAAATGACCTGCCAGTTGTCATGTGGGTTTGTATGTGCCTTTTTCTGGGGGCAAGCAGTATTCATCAGCTTCTCAAAGTGCATCTTGGTCCTTCAAGAAGTGGGGTGTCCAGGCCAAGAACTTGGCCCTGTTAGGCAATGTTAAAAGGATTCAGACCTTGTGTGGGGAGAGAGTCTCACCCCTGGCTGGGGCTTAGGTGGAGTTATCAGATCCTGCCTGGGAACTAATAAAAACATCCCTCCACTGTCCCCTCCCCATCCCGCAGGGGTTGGCCCCTGGTGGTTAGAAGTTCTGGGGGAGTGAACTTGTGGCACAATACATCTGAGCCACCCTTATTCCCAGGGCGGAAGGTTGAACGCAGGCCAAGGATTCTGTGATAATGAAACCCGGAAAGGGATATTCAGCTAATCACTGTTCTAATCTGGAATACAGAGGGATATTCATGGTTCTGGGGCAGGAGAACACTGGAGCCTCGGTCATTGAGACAGCACTTAGTATGTCACAGGTGCTGCACTCATCCGATGTGTGCACATTGGCTCCTAAAGGCCTCAGAGAAGCTCTGTGGTCACCCCCATTTTACAGGTGAGAATAGTAAGGCGGCAGAGCTGAATTTGAACCCAGGCAGCGTGCTGCCAGGGCCTATGCAGGACCAGAATCTACCCCAGGACCAAGAAGTGGGTTCTGGGTGGGTGTGAGGGGAGCATTTTGGGATTGGGCCCCAGAGATTCTGTGGAAGCTTAGCAGGTGTGAGAGGGTGGATCATTGGTGACAATCAGGTGGAGGTCAAAGTCCAGGGCCTGGGGACATTTGGGTTGAGGTTTCTGGCCCTGTGTGTTGAGTAGATATCGAGGTTCAGAGACACCTATCAAATGGGCTTAGGACCTGGGTGAGTGGTAGTCTCCAGTTCTGGCTCCAGCTTTCCAGGTTAGCAAATAGAGCACATAATTGGGGGTGCAGGGTTGAATGTGGAAGAATCATGGGTTCCCAGACTGAAGTGTGTTGGCAACTTGTTTGCAGTGGCCTTAAGATGCCCCACACTTTAGCCCTCAGATGGGGTGTCTCCACACTGGCCCCAAGTTGGATTCAGGGTTTAGACTCTGATGTCAGCCCAGTTGGGAACTTTCTGGAACTGAGAACTTGTCAGCTGGCTGCTTGGACACCATTCCGCTGCCCAACTGTCCCTCCCTCCTCTAGCCAAAAGGCCTTTCTCAATGTACATTGGAGGTGGGAGGGGGCGGCAGGGTTTGTAACAGTTGCTGCCTGTCTCTATGATCCAGTACCTTCTAGAACACCACTGTCCAATAGACGTTTCTGCGATGGTGGGAATGTTGCATATTTGCCCTATCCATTAGAGTAGCCTCTGGCCACATGTGAATACTGAGCTCTTGAAATGTGGCTAGTGTGACTGAGGAACCAACTTTTTAATTTTACTTAAATGGTCACATACAGCTTCTGGCTACCATATTGAATGGTGCAGTTCTAGACCGCTCCAGGGGGGAAAAAAGAAATCTGATGTTAAACCTCATCCCAACATGCCCACTGACACAGAAAAGGGTGGAATTGCCCATTAGAAGAGGAAGTTGGGGGTTCAATTGCCTGGCTCACCTTGTTCTCTATGGCCCTTGCCCTCGACCAAGCAAAGGGTTCTAGATCCTATGGTTCTAGGTGTGGTAAGACTTTAGGGGGGGTGTGCCCTGAGTTCACCTACCTCCCACCAGTCCTTTTCCCTTTCAAAAAAAAAAGCACTTCATGATATTGGCCGTGACGTTTATTTCAGGGGTGGGTTATATACAGCAGTGACCCGGATGCCCGGGAGCCCCTCATCCCCACCAGGGGCTTGGGTGGGGAAAGGAGGCATTGGCAGAAGGCACACAGTGGTAATGGCCTAGAGGAGGCCAGGAATTTTGGGTGGGGGTGTAGTGTATCCTGGGAGACCCAGATGGGGAAACTGAGTCTTGGGGGGGGTGTCAGCTGGTCCCTAGAGCTTGTGCTGGTTGTCCCTCTCATGCCTGGGCTACAGGAGGACGCAGGGGCAGCCCCCGTCCTTCTTCCTGGGGGCACTGGGTGGGCTGGGTGGGAGCTCTTGTTCCTGGTACTTCCTGTGGGAAGATGCTGGTGAGTTTGGGCCACAGGGGTTGGGGACAAGGACAAGGGGAAGGGGGCTCTGCTCACCGGACAGCCCGCACCAGCTGTTCGAAGGCCTCGTCTACGTTGAGCCGCAGTTTGGCTGAGGCCTCGAAGTAGGCTATGTGGTGGGAGGCACTGAAGGCAAAGGCTTCAGAACGGGGGACCTGTGGGACAACATGGTGAAGTCAGGTCTCTGCACTCAAGAGGGGTCCCAGTGTGGATGGGAGGCAGAAAGACTGTGTGCCTGAATAGGAGTTACATATTGTAGGGGCTCAAGTGAAGAGGGAAATTCCAGGGGGAACGTGAGGGGGGAACGCCGAGGGGGCTCGGCACCATTTAAGAAGTAGGGGAAGGATGCACAGAGGTTTGCCCTCCTAAGCATTAGATAACTGAGTTCATCAGGCAGAGAAGTCAGGGTGTTCCTGGCAGAGGCCTGGGCAGAGTTTCTGAGCTTGGAAATCCCCAAAGTCTTAGTTTGCATTCTGTGTGGAAATCACGCAGTCTCTATGTATAGGGAAGAGGTGAAAGCAGAGAAAGGAAGGGATGAGACCACGGTGGGCATCAAGCGCCAGGTGGAAGAGTTGAGGTTTTCTCCCAGGGGCACTGGGGAGCCATAGAGGGCTGGGAGCAGGGAAGGGGGAGGGGGAGGGGGCTGGGCCAGCAGGGACCCAGTGGGAAACTGACTGGAGGGGAGAAACAGACGGATGGGACAAGGGTCCAGGTGGGAACAGGCGGGATGGGGCAGAATCAGGGCCAGTTGACCTGGTGATGGGGAGGAGCCCTTTTGTCCAACCAGCCACCTCTCCTGGGAACTCCAGTATGCAATGCTGGGGACTCAGAAGGTCTGACTTGGTGGCAACACATCTAGTGAGGTGGGTGACAATAAAGTGAGCAAGACTGCAAGAGCCACAGAAGAGCCACAGGAGGATGCTGATGTGAAGAGAGGCAGGAGGTGCACCGGAAGGAAGGGACCTCCCAGGCTGAGATGGGGTCCCCGGGGGGTCCCAGACCTGGCGCTGTGCCTCAAGATCTGCCTTGTTCCCGACCAACACGATGGGGAAGTCGTCGCGGTCCTTGACTCGGAGGATCTGCGTGAAGAGCTTGCTCACCTCATTGAAACTGCAGATGAAGCCAGAGGCGTGAGGTCCAGCCACTCAGCCCTGGTCCCCTCTGCTCTGCCACCTCCCGGCTCCTCTCACCTTTGCCGGTCGTTAATGGCAAACACCAGCAGGAAACCGTGCCCAGCGCGCATGTACTGCTCCCGCATGGCGCCGAACTCCTCCTGGCCCGCAGTGTCCAGGACTGCAGAGAGGGGAAGAGGGCTACTGTGGGGACCCGGATCTCCCTAGACACTCCCCCACCACCCCCCCATCCAGTCCCTGCCGCCCTCACTGTCCAGCCGGGCAGGGACGCCATCCACGGTGCAGATCTTTGTGTAGGAGTCTTCGATGGTGGGGTCGTAGTCAGACACAAAGTAGGACTGGTGGGGTGGGGGAAAGGACACTGTTACTCTAGAGCCCAGCAGGAATGACATAGCCCTGCCTCTGGGGTCTGCCTTTCTCTACCCGCCCTCTCTCTGAATCTTAATCTCTTTCTGAGTCTCTGTCCCTCCCCCTACCCACAGTCCCCTGTCCCTAAGGCTTTCCTGGTCCACCCTGGTGTAAAGTACATCTTCCAAATCGTTTATGTCCTGGCTGTGTGACATTGAACAAATCACTTCCCCTCTCTGTACCTGTTTCCTCATTTGAAAAATGAAGCTAAATATAGCACTATACTTAATCCAATGTTTGTGAGATTCAGGGAAAATCCATTTGACACCTAAGCATTTAACATATCGCCTAGACATAGTACTTGCTCAGTTATTGGGAGTCGTTGTTGTCCAGAATATCTATCTGCCTGTCTACATCTCTCCCTCCCCCTCTTTCAATTGCCTCCTTTTTTTTTTCTTCTCCCCCCCCTCCCGCCCCGCTTTTAGTATCTCCTCCCAGGGGAAGGTCCCAGTTCCAATCCGACTGTTGAGAAACTGCCCCGCCCTAAGGCTGGGCCCCTCCCTTCCTGTCTGCGTCCCGCCTGCCTCCAGCCAGGCCTTTGGACAGCTTCAGGTCTGCCCCTAGGGACAAGGGACGCAGGGCCTTTCTCTACACAGACAAGGGCTCTCATGCAGGCGCTGGATGGGGTCTCTTGTTGGGTCTGGGGCCCAGGGGCCTCTGCAGTAGTGTCTCAGGAGCAGACACCTTTCTAGGGTTTCTCTGAGGTGGGTGGGTGTTTCCCGTGGGAATGGGGTAGAGGTTTCCTGGGCAGGGGTGGATTTTCAGTAGAGAAGGGGAGATCTGGCAGCTGGGGGTCTGAGGGCTGCATCCTGTCTGCTGGAGGGGTGCTTGGTGAGGCTTGTGTTGGAGGGAAGGTGTAGGGACAAGGCCCTGGGGGAATTAGGGGTGTGTATTCAGAGCACCTCAGGAGAAGCTCAGGGTTGAGAACTGGGGGAGAGCCCCAAGATAATTTGGTCACATTTGGGAGGTTGGCCATAGGATATGGGTGCCTGTCTAGTCTTAGAGACCCTGACATGCATTTATGGGGTCAGAGACACTCCCAAGGAGTAGATCTTTCTGGGGGTATCAAGAATTTGGGGGTTAACCAGAGTTTCTGAGAGGGGCTCAGAGTTGGAGTGGAGGAGAACTCAAGATGGAGGAGTGGTTGGTTTTTCTTGGGAGAGGGTGGAGGTCTGGGTCTGGTAGGATGGGGGAGCCACAGGACTTGGGGGGTCTTACAGTTCTCTGGAATGGCCAAGGGGCAGGATCTATTTGAACTCTCTTGGGTTTCAGGGTGCCTCTTTTAGAACTGAGTTTTCCCAAATTGGCCTCAGGGACAGTCTGGGCATAATTTCTAGATTCGGGGAGGTCCCTGAAGGGGCTAAGCATCCAGATTGGGGGGATCTCAAGGGCTTTGGGCACAGGCATTCTCCCTGTTAGGCTCTGGGTGACTCAGAAGGGAAGCTGGGGTCTTGGATTTGGGGGAGATGCGCTCAGGGTGAGGGAAAGTGGCACCTATGGCGGTGGGGTAGGGGAAACAAGAGTGCTTAGGGTCTGAATGCAGTGACATGGATTTAGGATGCTCCCAGGAGGTGCTCAGGGTCAGGTCAGCAGGGAAGGGGGGTTCTGGGAGGAGGGACGGTGGGTCTCAGGATGAGTATAGGAAGAAGGTCCTTCATGTAGGGGGTGGTGGTCCTGGGGGGCTCAGGGTCACGATCTGAGGGGAATTTTTAAGATTAGAGGGCCTTATAGGAGGGTCTCAATGATGGATGGAGGGGAAATCGGGGTCTCAGGGATTCCCCCAAGGGCTACGTTCTGGGTCCCGGGGGCACCCCCCGGGTGAGGGCCCACTACCTGGATGAACTGGATGGTCAGCGCACTCTTGCCCACGCCGCCGCCGCCCACGACCACCAGCTTGTGTGTCTCGCTGGGTGGGGGGTCCCCGGGTCCCGGCCCCCCGCCCCGGGGCCGCCCCCGCCCCGTCCCGGACGCCGCCCCGCTGCTCATGTCGCCACCGCTGCTGCCGCCGCCGCTACCGCCTGGGGGGGAGCCGGGCGGGGCCTAGGGGGCGGGCCACATTAATAAGGCTACTGCATAATCATGAGCTCCGGCAAAGAGGGCACAAGTCTCGGGACACTTAAGGAGGAGGTAAGGCCAGGGAAAAGGAGGAGCTATGCTAATAAGGGCAGGGGAACGACTTTCGCCGCTAAGGGGAATTCCGAAAGGGGTGGGGATATGCTAATGAGAGAACTGTGCTCACCCAGAGCTGCGCCACGCGCTCAGGCCTGGCGGGCCGTTTTGGGGCGGGACTATGCTAATAAGAGCTTTCGTTCTTTCGGCAGACAGGTCGGGAAGGTTTTCGGGGAGGGGTTATGCAAAGGAGCAATCATGTGAAGCCGCTTCTCAGGGCATTCTCTCCGAGGTTTTGTTCTGGTAGGCGGGGCTCGCCGACTCGCGCGCGGCCGTATATAGGCGCGCTCCGAGGCAGGAGCAGCTCCTGAGGGGAGGTTCCACCTCCGTTCTGGGATCTTAGCCAAACTGCCGACCCGGGCGTCTGGGCTGGATATTGGCGTCTCCGCCCGCTAAGGGACCCAGGCTTCCGGTTGCCGCTGTCCCAGCCAAGCGGAAGACAGACTGGGAGGGGAGTTGGGGCCCTTGGAGGGGGACCGCCGGGTAACGGGGCAGGGAGGGGCCGTGAGATCACTGCATTCCTAATCCATGAGCCAGCTCGCCCAAGCCGGGACGCCTGGGTCATGAAGGGCCTAGAGCCAGGATTTCTGGGTCTTTGAAGGAGAAGGAAGCTCCCTAGGAGAGAACTGGGAGTTCTGCATCTCGGAGGGGAGGAGATCTGGGGATCCTTACTAGTATTAGGACTACCCATGTTTCGTTAAGGAGGGAGCTGGAAGCCCAGATTCTTGGGTCCCGGGGTTGGAGGGACTGGGAACCCAGACTTCTGCGAGAGAATCGCTGTGGGGAACCCGAACATTTTGTGTTCATGTAAAGTACGAGCTTGAGACCAGAAATTGTCTAATAGAGGAAAAGACTGAGAGCCCGACTCGTGGATCTAAGAAAGGAGGAGGGAAGTGGAACTCCCCATTCCTCTGCACCGGAATTTGGACTTTTCGGTTCTAGATGAAGGAGGCTGTAGGGGAGGGCTTCTTGGTTCTAAATTTAGAGGGGACTAGGGGGATTGGGATTCTGGGATCTCCAGAATGTGGGCGGGGCAACTCCCAGCAGTCCAGCGTTTTTTTTTAACACTACCCACTCCGCGGAACTACAATTCCCTCGCATCTGTCCGGCTGAGTGCCTTTTACGTCACTTCCTGTTCCGCAGCTCTTTCTGCACGCACATAGGGAATTGTGGGGTCTCATCGCGGGCTACTGCAAGCACGCCCACTTCACCTCTCACCTCCTTGCTGCTCCCGCGTGACGGAGGCGACGCGCGGACTACGCCTCCCGGCGTGCCTCGCGCGCACCCCTGCTCATGTGCCCCGTTGACTGCTGGGAGACTGAGTCCGGCGCCTTCCCACCAGCCTTCACGGCACCGTGCTCGGTACTTGAAGTCCCGGCAAGCACGGCGGCGTTTTAGCTCCGCCTCTCTCCTCCCTCTGCTAGCGAACCCCACCGCCCCAGCCCGCCCCGCCCCGCGCCGGGGCCGGAGCCGCAGCCCGAGCGGCGGGGTAAGATGGCGGCGGTGGTCCGGACCGCGGGGCTCAGGCCTATCGGGGTGGGCGGGGCGGAGTCGGGTCGCTGGTAGTCCTGGGGTCCTCTCCACACGCTGCAGGGTCTGGAGGACTTAGTGGGGCGGCCTCTGGCCCGGCAGCGGCAGCGGAGCCTTGCGCTGAAGCGGGGGCCTTCTCAAGGCCCTGGGACGTGTCTGTGGGTGTCGGGGGCCATCTACGAGGCATCCCCGTAAGAACTGGGGACGTCCACAGGGCCTGGACCGAGACTGGCGCCTGCCCTTCATCATATAGCCAGCTTGGGTCATTTCTGTAGGCACTGTTGATCGTCTTTATGGGCTGACCGGAGGCTAGGGTCTGTTCAGAGGGTTCTGGGGCCATCTTGAGATATATCCCAGGGGTGAAGGAGGTCTGCAAGAGCTGAGGAGTTTCTGCAGAGCCATCTATAGCGCCTGGGGTATGTCTGTTGGGGCTGGGAAGTGTCTACATGGGCTGACTGACGTGAGGATGCCACTCACCTACATGGGTCTGGGGCCATTTAGCGGACCTGAGAGAACTTCCTGTGTTAAAAAGTCTTAGAGGTGGGATGTGCCCACCAAGGGACGGAGGCAAATATTGAGATGTGCTGAGAGGTCTAGATGGGTCTCCAACGTCTGGGAAGTGTCTAATCTGGGTGACAGGAGGCTGGGGTAGTTAGAAGGACCAGGAATCATCTAGGTGGCTTTGAGTGTGCCTGCAGCAAATTCGAATGCCTTTTGGGGCCATATAACTAGATGGAGAATAAGACAAAGGAGAATTTTGGAAAATTTGCTGAACTCAAATGTACTTGCACTTTAGAAGGTAATTCAGATGAAAAATATTTTAAAATTTTCTGTTGCCCCGGAGCTATAGAGAGTTAGAATAAGCCCACATTAGTCTGGGAAAGTTTATGGAATCATCTAGTACAATGCTTTTCAAACTCTCTTGACCTTGATCTATAGCAAGAAATACATTTTTCATTGAGGCCCCATACCTTCTGACATGTATTTAAGTAATACCCATGTCCCATTAATTGATGTTTCCACCTACTACTTGTGATGTATTATGAACAATTTTCTGCGTCCGATTTACTTTTTATAAGAAGCTACTTGTGAAGCAGTATACTGCTGTCAGACTGTAGTTTGGGAATCACTGATCAAGAGAGACCTAGTAATGTCCGCAGGGCTTTCTCATGTTGAAAACACCGAAGGAGCCTTGGGTGTGTCTGCAGAGCCTGGGGTATGTCTAAATGGGCAAGGGAGCATCTTCATACCTGCAGAGGGTTTGGGATCTGTGTGTTTGTAGTCAGCAGACCTTGATTAAGTTTCTGTTATGTGACAGTCATTGTAACTTGTGCTTCCCGCCCCCAGGTGCTGGAACTGAGTAGCTCCAGGGCTGGAACTGTCCTTAGGGCCTTATCAGGGGGGTATCAATGGGAGTTAGGGAAGGAGCCTCAGGCTCTTAGAGAGCTGGGAGGCTGCATGGGGGAGCTTTGGCAAAGCTTGAAAATGTGGTCCGAGGGAGACCAGGACAGAGGCCTTTTCTTTGCAAGTATACAGCTGGGGAATTGGGGAGACATGTCTGGAGAAACCTGGGCCCTAAAGGCCAATAATGATAATTATTATTACTCTGTATTGAGCATTGGGTTGTGCTAACTCTGTGGTAGAAATGTCTCCTTTCAATTCTCACAGCCTTTTTCAGAGGTAGATTCCCGGACTGTGCCATGTACAGATAAGCACACTGAGTTGAGGATTAGGGATTTGAAGCTTTCTAGAAAGTTTGAGACTGGATATTGTTTCAGAGTAGCAGTTTTGATGGTTGCTGGGAAGCCCACAGCTGAAATATTCCTGTTGTTTGAAGCCCAATTAAGACAACCACCAGTCTGAAGGATGACCTTTCAACTTCAGTATAACCTATGAATTTTTGTGACATCGAAAAGGCTTTAGCCATGCTTGCATACAGTGGGCAGACAAGACATAGGCGGATGTCCCCATGGGGTCTAGTAGACAGCACATCTTTCTGAAATTCGTGTTTTCATTTCAAAAGTGGCATGTTGGTTTTGTAAATCACACTGTCATAGGTCCATCTTATATTGTATACCTAAATAAATTGTTTTTGGTCCCTCAACATCGAGGAAAATTGATGCTTTAGGAAGTTGCATCATGTTTGCGTTGCACCCAGCACACTGACACGTACCTCAGTTTGGGAAAGGTGGGTGCATGAGACTATGGAGCATACTATTTGAAATCACAGCTTAACAGAAAAAAATCTTGGCATTGGGTTGGCTCCCACGAAAGTGGGCCATGAGGTCTTAAGTTTGGTTGTGGGGGAAACTGGGAACTGATTGTTGAAATGGGGTGGGAAGGCTTCCTTTCCACAGAGGAGGCAGCTGACATCCAGATAAGGGAAGAGAATCACTTTAGTCCCTCTGGTATCTCTATTAGACCCAGTACACTCCCAAGGACTGGGATGAGGTGGGTGGGGGAGAGGAGAGATACTGAAGAGGATGCTGACGGAGGCAACGTTGGAGGCCTTTGAGGTCTTTGTGTCCATCCTCTGCTTCTGTCCACTTCCACACTCCACACCCCACCCCAAAGCCCTGTCCGTCTGCACTCCAAACTCACCCCCTCAACTTCCAGGTGACCATGGAGGAAGAAGATGAGTCTCGAGGGAAAACAGAGGAGTCGGTTGAAGATCGAGGCGATGGTCCGCCAGACAGAGACCCCACGCTTTCTTCTACTGCCTTTATCCTGGTGAGGCTGCTAGACATCTGGGGCCAAGGGAGGAGGGGCTGGGAGTCCGGATTCCAGGGCCTGACTCCTGGGCCTCAGGGGGAGGCGGGGCTGGGAGCCTGCACTCTTGGCTCCTCTGAAGGGTTTGAGTCTGGTTGTAGGGTGTCTAGAATGCCTGTCTCCCAGGAGTAGAGCTTGTGACCATTTGCACGAATCCCCTGACTGCCACCCTTTCTTTCCACCCCCTTCACCCCCCATCTTTTCTCTAGCGGGCCATTCAGCAGGCTGTGGGAAGTTCCCTGCAGGGGGATCTGCCGAATGATAAAGGTATGAGGGGTTCTGGTTCCTCTTAGTTCCCTGACCCATCTCTGCATTCTTTATCTCAATTTCATTCATATACACTTTCCTGAGGCCTCCTGGGTACCACCCTGTGCTGGCACGGGAGCCAAAAATGGGTCAAACCCCCTGTGGCTGCCTTGGAGGGGCTCACAGTTTGGTGGAAGGAGACACGCTCACAGCACAGAGGTAGCCTGTGGTACCATGAGATGGCAGGAGGCCCAGCTAGGTTAGGGGACAGGGTCCAGGAAGGCTTTCTAGAGAGGGTGCCAGGTGGACTGGGTCTCTAAGGATATGTTAGAGTTGTCTGGTAAAAAAGAAGGCCTTGGGGGAGGGGGGTTGTCACTTTGAGGGGTAAAAGGTATAACTGTTGCACTGTGTTGTACAGCTGAAACTAATTTAAAAAAATGTTTATTTCACAATAAAAAAATAAAAAAAAAGAAGTCCTGTTAGGCAGAGGTAACAGTAGGCGCACAGCACAGGGGTGCATTGCAGGACCGAGTTGTGGTTTTTAGGGGCTGGTGGACAGGAGGCGCGAGGGAAGACGGGAGGTTCGTGGGGACCAGGTCATAGCCTGGCTCGAATGCCGAACTGACTTGTCAGGACTTCATTCTGAGGGCAGCTGGGAGGACAGAGGGGTGAGGGAGTTGGAGCCTCAGAAGGGCGTTGAGAAAGTCCACCTGGGACCCACATTAGAAGGTGGTGGATGGAGGCCGGGAGAGCAGGCAGGCGTGTGGTTCCCTTGTCAAGAGCTAGGGCAGGCTCCTTTTTTCTCTGCCCCACAGGGTTTTCCCACCTAGTCCTCTGTCCTCAGTTCCCCATGCAAATCTCTCTCTAGATGGCTCTCGGTGTCATGGCCTTCAATGGAGGCGCTGCCGGAGCCCACGGTCAGAGTCCCGTTCCCAGGAATCAGGAGGAACTGACACGGCTACTGTGAGTAAGGAGGGAGCCAGGGGAGGAAGGGCACTGGGGCCTGGATTCCGGAGATGGGGAGATGGGGTTGGGCACTCAGACTCCTGAGCCGGGGGTGCGGATCAGGGGCAGTGTTGGAGGGCCTGGGGGCCGGGCCCTGGGTCCTGGAGGCAGTCTGGCTGAGGGAAGTGGTTGGATCACTGCATTTTCTTAGGAGGTTAGGGGTTGGGGAAATGGGATTTGTGGGTCCTCACATGATTAGGGACAGGGTGGAGCTCCTTTTCCCTATTCCAGGTGCTGGACATGGCTGCAGACAGCTTCCTGGCAGGGTTGGTGAGCATCCTGGACCCTCCAGACACCTGGGTTCCCAGCCACCTGGACCTGCGTCCTGGCGAGTGAGTAGTTGAGCAGCTGGAGGGGAGATCCCCTGGTTTGGGAGCTGGTAGCACCACCGAGGCTCACTCACCCTTTCTGTCTTGCAGAAGCGAGGACATGCTGGAGCTGGTGGCTGAGGTCCGAATCGGGGACAGGGATCCAATCCCTCTGCCAGTACCCAGCCTGCTGCCCCGTCTCAGGGCCTGGAGGACCGGCAAAACGGGTATGTGGGATGAGGGCAGAGCTGGGCAGGCGGTGGCCTTGGCTTTGTGTGAGAGTCAGCTGTCATTAGAAGTAATAGTAGTGATAATCGTGTCATTTAGACAGACTCTTTATTTTAATGTGTTTTTTTCCCCCCTATTACACTGCAGTAAAGTCCACACATACATATAGATTACAAAAAGTAAAAACATGTGATGGCTGCTGTGTGGGAGCAGTTAGCACACAAGAGGGACTCGATGTCCAGAGCTCTACCTATCAGTGTGACTGCATGGGGACTTGTGTCTCCAGGCGGGAGCACTTAGCATCACCATCTTCCAGAGGAGAAAATCTGAGAGAGGGAAATGGCATGCTTGAGGTGACACAGCCAGTTGTTTAGTGGGCCCTGAGCACCAAGCCGGGTCCTTCTAAGTGTAAAGCCGAAGTTGTTGACTTGCGTGATGTGTACCTGCCCAAGCGAAAGTCTGCCCCCCAACCCCACACAGTGGCAAGCAGTGTAGAGCAGTGTAGAGCAGAGGTTCTCAAACTCGAGCGGGCACCAGAAGCAGCAGGAGGACCTCTTGATACACAGGTCTCCAGGCCCACCCTCAGAGTTTCGGATTTAGCAGGTCTGGGGTAGGGCCTGGGAATTTGCATTTTTAACTAGTTCCTTGGTGATGCTGCTGCTGCTGGCCCCCGGGACCCCGATGAGAACCCTGGGTTCAAACTTCCATTTTGCATGTACATATGTGTTTGGGGAGGAGTAGTGAGGAGAGGAAGGTGCAGGTCTAGCGGTAGGTTCGCTACAAGCCACTGTCCCACTGCAGAACGTGGCTTGCACACCCTCTGAGCCAGTTCATGTTTTCCTCATCCTTTGTTTATAGTTACAGGTTGACTTGTCCATTAGGCTCAGGGGACATGGTGCCTAGGGCCCACAAAAGTATTTTCATTTTGTAAAATCAGGACTGTAGAGGCTAAGTAAACAAATGGGCAGGACAGCATTCCAAGAAAACTTTATTTAGAAAAACAGATGGTAAGCTGGACTTGGATCTTAGGCCTTAAGTAATACAGATGTATCTAGAACCTAATTGTTGTCTTCAGGGGTTATATTTTATTTCCTTATTCCAAGTGTTTTTTGGTCTTCATTTGGAAAATGTTAAGAACTTAGAGAAAAGAAAAGAAAGATCACCCATAATCCTACCCCATATAAAAATTATATAAAAAAGCGATGGCTTGCGTTTCCAGACCTCTCTAGTCTGTAGACTGTTTCAGGTGGTGGCGATAACATCCAGGGTCGCAGGCGCTCACACTCACCGAGTTCTCACGGTGCCAGGCACAGTCTGGTTCTTTCTGTGCAGCTGCTCATCTGGTCCTCTGATCCCTGTGTGGTCTGAATGCTCCCATCATCATCATCCCCTGCTTTATTTTCCTCCAGAGCCCTCAGCAGCTGGCGGACGCTACGTTTGGCACGTTGATATTTCTCTCCCCACTCGAATGTGAGCTCCTTGAAGGCAGGGATTTTTGTCTGTTTTGCTCATTCTATTCCTAGTACCCCAAACAGCACCTGGCACCGATAGATAATTGATAAAAATGTGTTGAATGAATGCACGGACCCCATTTTGTAGGTGAGGAAACTGAGGCAGACAGAGGTTGGTTGAGTGACTTGCCCACGGTTGGGTCATGAGGGAGGGCTGGAACCTGGGATCCAGATCAGGAGGTGGCTTTAGAGCTGGCACTGTCCACACGAGCATGCTGGTGTCCTTGCCTTAGCAGGTCCTTGCAGTTATGTGTGGTTGACAGAGGGGCCTCTGGACTCCATCGTGTGTGTCCGAGCCCTGGCCCGGCCACCCATCCGAGGTGCAGCCTCGTGTGGGACTTGGTGGCACTGAGACTGTAGTGCTTAGAAAGCAGGGTCTCAGGAGTGCGGATGAGTTGACATAGGAAAGCATGATGCCTGGCCCATAGGAAGGAGTGAACACTGGTCGTCACTGTCATTAGTCAGTGTTGTCTCGGGTCCTGAGCAGATGTAGCCCTATGGGTAGGGCTCATCACACAGTGAAGAGTGCGGGGTGGGGACTCAGGCTGGCAGTGCTCCCTAGCTCTTCCCCTTCCTGGCTCTGGAGAGGGAACTTCACCTTCTCAGCTTTCCATGATTCTCTCTATAAAATGAGATAAGTTGCCAGAAAAGGCAGTGGGTGCAGAAGGTTCGAGCTTGGCTGTGCAGGAGGTCAGAGGTTTGAACCCTGGCTCTCCTGCCCTGGCCTGCACCCTCCGTGGTAACATCACTGCCGTCGGCGGTCAGGGTGGTCTTGGGCTGCGGGTTAGCATCTGTCTCAGGATATGGGAGTACAGGCTCGGGAGCCACACTGACCGAGTTTGCACCCCAACTCCTCCCTGCTGTCTGTGTGCCCTTGGGGAAGATACCACAGCTCTCTGTGCCTCAGTTTCCTCCTGGGACCCCTGGGTCACAGAACCTATGGTGTGGAGTTTTTACGAACATCCTACAAGTTGACACATGTAAAGCACTGGGGGCAGTGCCTGCTAGTGCAGCGAGTGCCGAGTGGGGTGTGGGGGCATGGATGGGTGCTGGTCTGCCTGTGGCCCCCTCTGCTGGGGAACAAGGAGGACGGATGTGCACCTAACCATGGCTCTCTTTCTCTCCCGTTCCTTTACAGTTTCTCCCCAGTCTCACTCTTCTCGACCCCCCTGTGCCCGCCACCTCCTAACCTTGGGCACTGGAGACGGGGGCCCCGCCCCACCCCCTGCGCCCTCCTCTGCATCCTCTTC